TGATTAAAATTTCAAAATTAAATCTCTCTCAGACGCAGATGTTCTGAATCACACGTGAAGATGTATCAGGGAAAGGGGCTTTGCTGACCAAGACCTGTCGACAGCTCTCCGAAGTCACTCTAATGACAGGTTCCTCAGTGAGAGCATATCCTAGGGACAGTGTTCTCAGCGAGAGTCTACTCTATGGGCATGTTCGTCATAGCCTACAGTAGGGACAGGTTCCTCAGAGAAAGCCTACCCTAGGGACGGGTTCCTCAGAGAGAGCCTACTCCGGAAACAGGTTCCTAAGGGAGAGCCTACCCTAGGGACAGGTTCCTCAGAGAGAGCCCACCCTAGAAACAGGTTCCTAATCGACAACCTACAATAGAAACAGGTGTTTTAGCCAGAGCATACTCTAGAAACAGGTTTATCAGCGAGGGCCTACTCTTGAAACAGGTTTCTTAGCGAGAGCCTATCCTAGAAACAGGTTCCTAAGCGATAGCCTACACTAGGGACACGTTGCTTAGAGAGACCCTACCATAGAAACAGGTTCCCCAGAGAAAGACTACCCTAGGGACATGTTCATCAGCGAGATCTCGCCCTATGGATAAGTTCAACTAGATAGCGTCGGTGTTTCCTTTGACGTGTGAATAAATCTGTTTGAAAAGCAAGGAATCAACAGTCTACATAGTAACATATTAAAAAGTATGCTGTAAAAAGTCCCGAAACACTCACGTCATGGAAACAGGAACAAGCCCCATGTGCTGTTTCATAGCCACTGCGTCAATGGTGTCATGTATTCACATTCGCAGATGTCGGCTTCTACTTCGCTTTTTTCCCTGTACATTCCATCACTGCTCTCTCCAGACCATCATGGTAATTGACATGTTGAAAATACATCAGCATTGGGGAGAGGATACTGTTTACGAGCCAATTCTCCTAGATATCCACGCTATGCAGAATGTCGCCATTTTTCTTTTTGGCCTACTCTATTCTAAGGATGTGTCTGTACTTTGTCAGTTCAACTGCAGGAATTTGCTTCCTTAAAGACTAAGAGTCAATGACTCAATTCCGTAAGTTGTGAGTTATCTCAAAGTGTGTAATTCAACTTGCTTGAAGGTGCGATGAAATACATTTTCATTCAGTTTAGCTTCTGCATTGCTAAACCAAGTTTCATATTGGGCAAAAGCAGGCAATAACCTCTTTCGTCTCCCCACTCTTGATGATGTGGTAAAAGGTAAACGTATATCTATAGCTGATGGTGTCTTTGGGATATAAAGTGTTACGCAACAACATATTTTGGATTGGAAAATATGAGACGCAACACAAGCCATAATTAAAAAAAAAAAAAATTGAAAATGAACGAAGGGCGTGTAACTGACATGCGTTACATAGAAGCAGTCCAGCTGATGATCTGATCGATTAAACGATACAGAAATTTAAAAAAAAAAAAACATTTTCATATTATTGTGAATTTATGTACACAGAATATCAAACTTTTAATCCGTGGTATGTCTCTTATGTTATCGACTTGACTGTTCACTGGGCATTTCTACAAGTATGTCGATGCAGTACCAACTCTAACGTGCCTCTGATGACTTTTTCAAAAAGTTAGTTATGCTATCTCATATCTTGAACTCGAAGAGGACACTGGTATGCTTCACAAGGCTTCCCTCCGAGTTCACGCAATCATGTTAATGATACACATTCTTTTATATCTACCAGAATAATACGCAAAGCATTGATGATAAATGCTTTCTCCACACATCTTTCCGCAAGCAATGGGTAAGATATCTTAAAATAAGGGAATCCTTTGCTAACAAATGTGTTGTTTAAGTGGTAAGATATTTCCCTACTCTATAAATTTTGTGTATCTGCGACGCTGACTAACTGGCTGCCTCGTACAATTCACAAAAGCCAGATTTGCTTAAGATGGTCCCCAGAGTTTTGAGGTTAGATAGTTGGCAATCCACTCTCCTGAGCCATATGGAAACGAACGAACGAACGAACGAATGAAGAACGAACCAGAAAATATTCAAACAGGTCCATATTTGGCACATAGGCCTGTCTTACATTCGACTGTTTGAAACAGTCATCATTCAAGAAACAATTATATGTTTATCTATAAGGTATGCTATACTTGCTTAACAATATACATACTATAAAAAGCAAGTAAATTACAAATGCATGTATTAAAACCCTAGTGCCATTACATTTTATTTATATTTTTATTGTATTTTACTATAGATGTATGAATACAAAAATGTTTCCGAATCTTATCAAACGGATTCAACTCATGTATATACAACTGAACTATCCCCCATTACAATCATGAGCAGAAATGTTGAAGTGATTTTGCAATGGGTTGTCTTTGCAACAGTACCTCAGGTGATTATTGTATGTGGTATAGTTGGCAACGTTATCAACATCATCTGTTTCGTGAAGCAAGGATTCAAGGATACCGTCAACGTTACTTTCCTAGGTAAACAAAGTAGCTTTGAGTTTCTATATGTGTTTGTTTATGTGCATTAGTAGCATACCCAGAACGAAATTTCATATGATAATACCTAGATAAAAGCTGTGTTGTGACTCATACCATCCATTGTTCAAATCCGCTTGGTCCACATCGAATGTGAGACTACCAGACGGATGATCTCACAGCAGCAGTCAGTTAGTAAGTCTACAGCCTAAATTCAGTGGCGCTCATCCACGTAGGCAAAGCGTCCCCTACCTCTCATTTGTCGGTTGCTCTCAGTGTACAGTTTAAATGCAGCCATTTATTGTTTGTTTGCATGTGATAAGTTTGACCGGAATTTTGAAAGTGTTTCAATACGTTTCAGTAAATGGCTTGATTTAGGATTTAAATTCCTCGTATATCCATTATGCATCTAACTGTTCTGTACTTTTGGCTATCTGTTCCTATGTATTCTGGTCTTTCATTTTCCACAATGTAGCTGTTGTCTCTGACCAACTGCATTCCGCACAGATCTAGTCTAGTAAAAAAGAAGTTTGTTATTGCTGTGCCAGCCATGTCTTCATGGACGTGACAAAAGTCATAGAATGGCTGAAAACTCAGGAATTCACCACAGCATGCTTTCTCAGTTACCCAGTGAGCATGCTACAGAAGGTCAATAAGAGCAGATACGGGAAAAGCGGCTCCATTTGATACATCCGGCAACGTTTTGCAAAAATCACCTCCATTTGTGCCCAGGTGTGCTGGCGTGATAGGCAATAAAAAACAGAGGCTCTGGCTGGCAGAACATTATGCTTGTTTAACTCCTTGAAGACTAACACACATCTTTTTTAACAGGTTAAACGTAATTTTCCTACAACATATAACACATATCTTCTCTTGAAGACAAAGCGTAATTATAACACTTCGTAACTAAAACTTTCGTAGGGACAATTTTGTTAGGTGACTACTTTGTTAAAGGGAAGAAATATACTATATATGCGTGCTTATTCTTCCCATATACTTACGTAAATGAAATCCTTATAAGCCCGCTTTAAAAAAAAAATATGGTTAACATAACGAAAACTATATTTCCTAGTTAAGATGGCCTGACAGGAGGTTAGAGTCCCTCCCGAAAAGCTCTTCCTGTCGTGAGGCCACGAAGCATTCCAGGAGTAGTGAGAAGAAGAAGAAGAAGAAGAAGAAGAAGAAGAAGAAGAAGAAGAAGAAGAAGAAGAAGAAGAAGAAGAAGAAGAAGAAGAAGAAGAAGAAGAAGAAGAAGAAGAAGAAGAAGGGAAGAAGAAGAAAATGAAGAAGAAGAAGAAGAAGAACACAATTTTGTTCCTAGCAATGATGCATTACTGTTACTTGTACCAGAAAATATGTAAATTGATATATCACCAAATCGAGTTTCTGTCTTCAGAAATGCATGTTAACAAAGTTTTACTGTAGTATTCGCTTAGTACAGGAAAACCTGGCATTTCATGTCACAGCGTCAAGTTTGATGATGAAGGTGGAGGTCATCTCGGCCTTTCTCTGCTGGCTTGAGAATCAGTTGTACACACATGTCGTGAGTGTAACTGACATACTGAGCACGTTGAAAAGGGTGGAGACATGCATGTTTTGTGAAGTGGCTAGCTTCAGAGGTCCCGGGTACTTAGCGACCTTTGGATATTTTCTCCAGTTTAATCTGGTGTGTTGGGAAACGAACAGTCTGATAGACAAGCCGATTCTGCACTATTTGGTGGTGAATTAATGTATGACAAGGTTTTGGCCTCAGGGAACGAGTGAACAGTGCGGAAGCACAACTAGAACATTACGGTCTGAGGACAATAGCGCTGCGAGGAGTTACCAGGACATCTGGCTGACGCTCAACACCCAAGGGAATGGCGAGAGGGATATAAAATCAGGTACTGGTGCCGTCAGAATTGGAACTCTTTGCTTGCTGCTGAGGATAGGTACGGAACGCTTTTGGTAGTGTCCAGAGTGCTGTGATGTCGATTCCTAATTCAACATTAAACACACAAAACATACATGCACATCCAACTGATTACTTGTTAGAAACCTTCCCTACTTTAAGCGACATTCTTACTGTGCTATGAGGAGATATCGGACTTAGCAAATGGCGATCTCGAGGGTGGCTAGCAAGACCCGCCCGAGTTAGGAAAATTCATCTACAATTAGAGTATGTGACTTCTTGACCGCTGTTGCCAATATTTGTGTTTAGAGCGTTATTTCTCAGACGCTCAGCTCTCATCCTTTCTGAAATCATTGCTTCTTTCATCCCTTGTTCCTTTTTGATGTTTTTATCCTGTGCAACACCGTCTATGGTAATTTGTTCCTACTAGTCCGCCTCACTACCTGTCCCATTCATGTCCCTCTTGCATCTTTATATCTTCTACCCATTTGTAATACACCACATAGGATATTCTTTAGATCTCTGCCCTCCTCCATTCCCCAGGTTGTAACACAGCCAAGTGATTTTTAAATGCATGTAATTATATATGTAATTGTATATTGTTTTATTCATGTATTTACAGTCAATAGATTCACATTACTTTCTGAAAAGGTCTGGCCATCACTGATTTGGGGTGCCTATCAACGCTTCTTTGGACAAACATCTGCATGACACCGGCATTTTATTCCTTAGATCTGCCATTTGAACCTATACAGTTCCAGTTTGTGACAAGCGGAATCCCTCATGTGATGTTTTCTAGAATTAGTAGTTGGATCACAGCCCTGGTCACTCTAGAGAGATGCCTGTGTATAACTATGCCTCTAAAGGTATGCACTAGTTTACACCATTTTTATAAAATCGCAGGCACCATAACTTGGGCATGTATAGCCAACAACTTGAAAAACACATTGGGAGCTTTTTTAATATCCTACCCCAAATAAGGGAAATCCACAGGTCAAGGAACAGTCTAATATTTCAGGGGGTGGTAGATAGGCTGGATAAAGTCGTGAGACCTAACCTGCACTCTCTCGTAGGACATAGGTGGGTTGGGGTTAAGGGCAGTTCTAGATGTGTTGGCGTCGTTAACAGCACCAAAAAGCTGGGAAACCCAGTCTAATAATCCTCTAAAATGTTGGACTGTCCTGTGACGTTATCTGGGGAAGGATATTACGAAAGAACCAAAAATTGTAACATCATTGATATTCAATATTTCAGGAAGTCGACGCTTCTCTTCTTCATGGTCCACTGTATTCTAAAAATGTTTCCATGGTATTCAAGTTTAAAATCGTCGATTTCTTTTTTTTTTTAGTCTGATTAAGAGTCCATGAGTGTCCACGGGAAAGACGTAGATATCAAAATGTTTACTTTCTGCAGGCGCTGTGCCATAATGTCATCTCGGCTTCAGTTAAGTGGTTCTAGAGATAGCTAATGTTGTAGTCTTCCCTTGCTTTCCACATCCCCCCTTGATGAACATCTTAAATTTCAGCAAAACTGACGTGTTAACATTTGCCTAAAATACTGTCGTGGTAGCGTAACTGATATAATCTCATCAGTCGCAACGTGTATTCAATTAACCAGTTTAGTTCACCGGATCCTTTAACATATCTAAGTTTATGTCATAATTACTTAGATGTGTTAAGTACCACATTTACACTCCATTACATAGTATTATACTATCATACTTTATACACACACACAGACATATAAATATAAATATATAATAATACACATATTTATAAATATATATGTATACAGACAAACATACAGACAGACAGATTGATATGTGCTAGCGGGAAGAAAAAGAAGAAAAAACACAGAAGTAGGGCAGATAAAGGAAAATTATGATTAGGACAAGAGTAATAGTTGCCCGCTAAACAACAAGAACAGGAAAGTAAAGAAAAGAAAGGTGGTTCTTCTGTGCAGTGACCCTAGAATATTCCACCAGAAACCCAGACAAAGAATATCTGTGTAGTGAGTTACTTGACAACAACCTAACTGCATGGCTACATGCACCTAGATGAACCAAGCGCACGGAATACTGATTCTAAAGTAAATCAAGCGAAGGAATTATAATCATCACCTTAAACAGCTGCTTTTTTACTGAACTGAACACCAAAATTAACGTATACTCCACAAATAAAACATTAACCACCAACATACGTGCTCGACCAGAGGCAGAATCTAAAGTGCTAACTATCTCTGGCTAACAAGGAAATATGATAATGACACCATACGCTCAACGATATGACCTCAACAATGGCAAAAACCGAAACATATTGAACATGTACTTAAGCTTCAATACACCACCAGACCAAGACATCAGTTATAGCGACCTGAAATCAAACTATCTCCTAGCGAGGATGCACAATGAAAATCAAATCTAACACCAACTAAGCAAATGAAACGTACCGTGAACCAGCCAGGAAACCGGCCTTTCCCTGCAGTTGCCCATACTCATGCTGTCTAGCCCAATGTGCAGAGCCGCAAACAGCTGGGTGTGTCCGTGCAGGCTCGGTCCGCAAGCCATATAGACCCTAAAAGCGAGTGATCTGGCCTTTTTATATACAGTGGCCAGAGTTTTCCGCTTTCGTAAACCAGATTAAATGAAGGTATCAGCCAAACAACCCAAAATCGCCAAGCTGCTGAACAGCGGTCTTTAGCGTTCTTCAGCCTATCACAGATAGATAGATAGATAGATAGATAGATAGATAGATAGATAGATAGATAGATAGATAGATAGATAGATAGATAGATAGATAGATAGATAGATAGATAGATAGATAGATAGATAGATAGATAGATAGATAGATAGATAGATAGATAGATAGATAGATAGATAGATAGATAGATAGATAGATAGATAGATAGATAGATAGATAGATAGATAGATAGATAGATAGATAGATAGATAGATAGATAGATAGATAGATAGATAGATAGATAGATAGATAGATAGATAGATAGATAGATAGATAGATAGATAGATAGATAGATAGATAGATAGATAGATAGATAGATTAGATAGATAGATAGATAGATAGATAGATAGATAGATAGATAGATAGATAGATAGATAGATAGATAGATAGATAGATAGATAGATAGATAGATAGATAGATAGATAGATAGATAGATAGATAGATAGATAGATAGATAGATAGATAGATAGATAGATAGATAGATAGATAGATAGATAGATAGATAGATAGATAGATAGATAGATAGATAGATAGATAGATAGATAGATAGATAGATAGATAGATAGATAGATAGATAGATAGATAGATAGATAGATAGATAGATAGATAGATAGATAGATAGATAGATAGATAGATAGATAGATAGATAGATAGATAGATAGATAGATAGATAGATAGATAGATAGATAGATAGATAGATAGATAGATAGATAGATAGATAGATAGATAGATAGATAGATAGACACAACTTATATGTAAGTTTAAAATTATACAAAAACTTTCAAATACAATTAGTACGTTTCTTTCTTTTGCAGGTAAAAAACATAGTGACAGCCAAGAGATTGTGTATCATCACTATTCTTATCTTCGTTTATCCTTATATTAACTGTGTGTCCCTTTTATTTCGTTTACAACTTAGGCAACAAATTTAATCCTACACTAAATAAAACGAAACTTGAAATTATTTATGTTGGCGACCGAGATAGCTTTGACCCTCCCTTTTACGTGACGAACTTCATTGTCCCACTTTGTGCTTTTATAGTTATTTTTGTCTGCACACTTATTCTGGTTATTGAACTCAAGGACAAAGCCAAATGGCGCCAGACTTCAACATCGTCTTCAAATTCCGACAACTTACAAACACAAACTAGACAACCTGCGTTACCTTATGCCCACACAAACGACAGGTTGAGAACCGCTATATTATGCAGTTTTACCTCGTGTGTTTCATGTGATAAGAGTCAGTGAATATTGAGGTTTGCGGTCTAATGCATGGATGATAGAATGACTGTTGTCACTCCTCAGGGCGGTGAGCTACTTTTTGATAAAGTGAAAGTGGTGACGGTTCTGTGGGATACATTGGACATAGCTGTAGAACAGAGAATCTATAGATTGATTGACTATATCAATAAGAAGTGGGTTAGGGGTGGTATATGTGGTATATTTATATGTATGCAACACTGAGGTGAAAACATAGGCTGCCTTTCAATGTGGTCGCAGCTGGTTCTATTATCATGTAGACTTTTCGATGGCTACTAAGAGTATACGGAGCATGTGCTGAAATGTCCAGAGTGCAGTAATGTCAATTTTTGATTGATTCATTCATTCGTTCACATTTAGTCTAAACAGTATGGCACTCGTATACATTTCAAACCTTACGCAGAGCAATTCTAATTGATCTTCAGCTGACATGCAGTCCTTGTTCATCAGACGGTTAAAACTTCACACACAGCAACCAATCCATAGCCGACTTATTTAGTATTGTCAAAAAAAAAAAATAGTTATTGTAAATAATTGACAAGCTTGTTCTGTTACAACGATTCATTTTTTTCCCCTTTCCTAATAATAACTATGGCCTACGTAATCCGTCTGCAACAAGGCTATGATTGTTTGAAGGTGAATGTAATCATGTAAGTGTTTCGGTTGTTAAATGTTAGCGGACTTAACGCCACATTAACTCTAGGCGCTCCATCCTTTAATATTGAAAATTTTAATTAAAGATAACCTAAGATAATAGTCGTTTGCATTCTTCAGTATGTACCTAATATCATGATGAAACTTGCACAACGATGGCTGAAAACACGCATATACACTGACGCTCACGTCTGAGTCAAAAAATGGTAGCTGGATATTAAATTACATTTCTCTCCTTTATTTGTATTTTAAGTCAAATGCCGACTAGTCTCAAATTATACTTCAACATATTTCACAGTGCACTGTAAAAGAAATTAATTGAACAACTGGAAAAACGAATTCAATAAGCAGACATTACACAAAACTGTTATAATAATCACACATATAAACGGTGCATGGGGCAGGCCGAAAAGAAAATTAAAAAAAAAAAAAAGACAATAGAACGACACAACAACGAAATAAAAACTGAAATAACTATAATACGGCACTGCGAGTGAATACAGTATAAAATTAAAGTAAAAGTAAAGATCCATTTACACGCCCTTGGCTCAACAGGCATATGGAAGGAGCACCCCATATTTTTACAGACCAATCGTCACTAGATGATTTATGTGGTAAGCATTACGCCGGCCGTCTTGACTTCCCCAGGACATCCATCCTGGTACCCATTTTAGCCTGTACCACGTGCACAGTATACTACAAGCATAACTTAGTTTCCTTGTCTAGGCTGGTGGACATGAGAGGCTCATCCTGGAGAGGAAGGCAACTGCAATGAGCTCACTCGTTGTCTAGAGGGTGTTCAAGTGTGTTTCGTGAACGTTCTCATCACACACTCCACGTTAACATAACTTGTACAAGCCGACACCGACTTAGCCGTACGAAACATCGGTTTATTGACATGTTACAACTTACATGTGAGCCCAGTCGTTTTCCTAATAAACAGCTCTCGCACACCACATCACGCAGACTTCAATAAAAAGGTTCCTCACGCAGTCACTGACCAGAGTCTGCCCCGATGCATTTAGTTGATCTTCTGGACATTACACAGACTGGCCTGGCTGATCTTTACTTCACACGTCGTCGTCTGGTTCTCCTTACACAACAAGCAGTCTCACGTTGACATTCGTACGCTCAGTCTCCCGTCCTTTCGCTCCAACAAGTCGACACAAACTAACTTGATCAGAGTGGAGTCTGAACTTTACCACGGGTTAGTT